CTGTGTTGTACTCTCTTCCTTTATCCTCTTCCCCCCCAACTGATCCCCCTCACTCCTGTTTCCATCAAACCACAATCTATTCACAGAAATTATTTCTCCTTTAGAGGGATATCTATGTTCCACACACACCCCAATATCCCTCCTCTTTACCTAGCTCTCTGGGTTTGTGGAGTGTAGCTTGATTATTATTTACCTAATAGGTAATATTTACTTATAAGTAAAGGCATATCATATCAGGGTTACCTCTCTTAGGGTGATTTTTTTCTAGTTGCCTTCATTTGCTTGTAAATTATGATGTCTTTTTTGTTTTTTAAATAGCAAAGTGAAGTGATTATTTTGTAAATATACCACAATTTGTTTATTCATTCTTCAATTGGGGGACATCAAAGTTGTGTCAAGTTTCTGGCTAGTATGAATATATATGCTATGAACATATTTGAGCAAGTGTCTTTGTGGTAGGATGGAGCACCTTTTGGATAGATACTCAAGAGCAGTATAGTTGGGTCATGAGGTACATGGATTCTCAGTTTTTTGAGAAACTAGAAACTAGAAAAAAAAATCACCCTAAGAAAGGTAACCCTGATATGGTATGCCTTCACTTATAAGTAAATATTACCTATTAGGTAAATAATAATCAAGCTACACTCCACAAACCCAGAGAGCTAGGTAAAGAGGAAGAATATTGGGGTGGATGTGGAACGTAGATATCCCTCTAAAGGAGAAATAGTTTCTGTAATATTCTGAGGAATATTTTGAGGAAATACTAATTTCCATAGTGGCTGTATTAGTTTGTACTTCCACAAGCTGTAGAACAGTGTTCTCCTTTCTTCACATCCTTGCTAACATGAGCTGTCACTTATATTATTGATCTTAGACATTTTGACATATGTAAGATGGTGAAGATTTCTTTAAGTCTTTGTCAGCCATTTGGGATTCTTCTCTTGAGAATTCTCTGTTTAGATCTATATGCCAGTTTAAAATGGATTTTTTGCTTTGGAAAGTCTAGTTTCTTGAGGTCTTTATATATTTTGTATAGTAGGCCTCTATAAGATGTGGATCTGGTTTTAAAAAAAGTCTTTTCTCATTCCTTAAGCAGCCTCTTTGTCCAATTGACTGGGTTTTTGCCACTTCCAATCCATTTTCTATTATTCGCAAAGAAAAGTGCACAAGATGAGTACTGGCCTATTATTTCTTTGATTTTTTTTATAGTTCTTATTTAAAAGATGTATAGGTCTGTCTTTCTGTCTTCTTTTATTTGTGGTGCCATCTATGTTGTGTCATTTTATTCATTATAATCTAATTATATTGTTTCTTCTCTGGAAAATGATAAACCATTACCAATTTTTGTCTTCTGAAAATCTGCTATATTATGCTATGAGTTTCTTGAGTTTTTGGTAGTTTGGAGACTTTCTGTTGAGAAACAGTTTTAGTTTCCTTGAAAGGCTTGCCTCTTTTCATTTCTTGGCAAAACTGTGTTTTCTGGCTGTTGCAATCACCAATGTTTGGGTTTTTGATCCTTAAGTGATTGATAAAGTTAGCACATTGGATTTTGGTTTTTAAAACTTTCTCATATATTATTGTCTCTGTGTCCTAATTAGGTTCAGTTGTCAACATCTTAGAGCTGTCAACATCTTAGTCATCTGAGGAATTCTTACTTGAGGGCATGCCCTCATCAAAATGACTGGATGCTGTATCAGTGAAAGATTGTATTCAGTGATGATTGATTTGGGAAGGCTCTTCCACAGAGGGTGGCAGTATCCCTAAGCAACTGTGCGCAGGCTAGATAAGAGAGCTTAGGTGAGCATGAGACAGTGATCAAGCAAGAGGGCAAGTCAGTAAACAATATTTGCTCGTGGTTTTTGTCTTCATGTTCTTGAAGCTTGAGTTTCTATACTAAGTTCCCAAAATGATGGACTATGATCTGACAGGACCAAACACAACTAAACCTGGTCATTACCTGAGAGGACTTTGGTTAGAAGATTCAATCACAGTAGCAAAGAAGCAAGTCAGAACAACAATAACAACATCAACAACAACAACATGGTATGCAAAAAGAGATTTGCTGTTGGACAGAATCTGGGAATGTGGAAACTATCAGGACTTGAGATGGCAAATGGAATAGAAAGCTGTACTCAGAGTTTAATCAACGATTCTTATAGCACCTGGAAGATCAGAGCATTGCTAGTAATGCAAACAGAATTTGAGGTCATAGGATTTCAGTGGAAAATAGACTCCATGAAAAATTTAGCTAGAGGTCATTTGTGTGGTATCTTTCTTATTCTGCCCATGCCCTGAAAAATTTAGTGAAGTAGAATTTAAAATAATGGGCTGACTTCTTAGATGGCATATTGAATTTGTTGAATGGTTATTACTAGTGACTTATTCAGGACTACAGTGAAAAACAAGCAACATTTGGGTAGAAATAAATGCAGTGTGGTTTGTGAGAAAAACAGCACTGGGTAATTTCAGATGAGAGTCAAATGCTGAATGAAAAGGATGCATTTTCAAAGAGATTATCATCATTACAGGATTTGAAGCCTAAGAAGGTGACCAAAGGGAAACACTCGCTCCAGCTAAGGCTTCAATTAATGGAAGGAGTAGGTAAAGTGATTCTTAGTCCCAGGAAGGAACTTCATAAAAAAACGTGCTACAACTGTGGTTCAAGCATGGCAGAGTCCATCCCCACTTGGAATTCAAATTGGCAGGATCACCCAAGTTCTGGAAACAAGAAAGATGCAAAATTTAAGGTCATGGATTCTTCCTCTGTGGTTTCAGTTCAGCACTGTTACAGCCATCTGTGTTTGGTAGAGTCAGAGACTCAGAGAAGGAGGATATTGTGAATGTACATTGCATGAAACTGTGAAGATGAAGCCTGAGTTGCATTTTGAGACCACAAGATGTTGAGATACCTAAGTTATGAGACTCCTGCCATGGAGAGCTGCATATAGGGAGTGGAAGTAACTAAACTGAAGAGATGTATGAGAAGTTGCAGGGATAGGGTCATCATCTAAGCCTTTTGAAACTGAGGCCTCATGTGTGAGGCAGAGCTACAGGATTTGGTTTTTTTTTCCTGCTGGGTTTCTTGCTTTGGTCCAATCTTCCCTCACTATGTACACATTCCTCTATTGGAATGGGAAAGGGTATTCTGTGCCTTTGTATGTTGGAAAGATATAACTTGTTTTCCGATTTTACAAGATATGGTGACCAAGAAATGGTGTCAGAAGAGAATTTGGACATTTAGACAGTGTCCAAGCTCCTGAAGACTATTAGGATCATTGAAGTTAGACTAAATAAATGCATTTTCATTGTGGGATGACCTACAAGTCTATAGTGACCAAGGATCAGAATGTTGGTGGTTGAATCAAGAAGCTCCCAGATAGGAGCACTTTGAACACTTATCTCTCCTTTGTGGCTTTCATTGGGGAGCTTATTGAAGCTTTTGAAGGAGTAACCTTTCTAGATTCCTTATTTGGGATGGGATTTGAGTATCTATAGATTCAACCTGTTTTCTGTTTTTATTTGTGTGTGTGTGTGTGTGTCTGTGTGTGTGTGTGTCTACTGTATTGTGGTTGAAATTGATCAGTCAGCTTCTGTCTCATGCTGTCATGCCTTCATGTTTATAGACTCTATCCTTGAATCACATAAGATGGGTAGAAACAATTGTTATTCAGCGCTAAGCTATTTTGCAAACCTGGAGTTTTTATAGTTTTCATTTGGTTGGTTTTGTTTTTGAAGACAAAATTTCTCTGTGTAGCTCTGGCTATACTGAATGTAGGTATGTAGAACATGTAGGCCTTGAAATAAAAGGTTCACCTGACTCTAGCTCCCTAGTGCTGGGATTAAATGTGGGCATTGTGCCTGTCTTTTTGTTTGTTTGTTTTTATCTTATTGGCTGATGTGCCTGGGATGTAGGTTTTGATACATGTCAAGCATATGCTGTTGTGTTTATCTTCATCCACATTGTGAATTTTGAAATTTGGCAGAGCGAATATTCTATTTCTCAGAATGGCATGTATTTATGACCTTAATACTGCCTACTCTTTACTGTCTGAGCTTTCTGAATCACTGAATTGCAGGTGCAAAATATTCTTCCTACCTGTTTGTTTATGTTGATTTTTTAAAATGAATATGAGTATTTTACCTGTGTGTATGAATATGCACCTCATGTGTGACTTGTCTTCAGAATAGTCTGAAGATAGCCTCAGAGTTCCTGAACTTGGAGTAATAGATAGTTTTGATCCCCCTTGTAAGTTCTGGCAATTGAGCCCAATTATTTGCAAGACCAGCAAGAGCTGGTCTCTGCTGAGATAGCACTGCTGAGCCATCTTTACTGCCCTGTGTTCCTTACTTAGGGTCAACATTTACATTGCCAGTATTTTCATCTGTCCATTTGTAACTGCATCCCCTTTTAGTAAAATCTCATTAATGCTACAGTTTAAACTGGGGCACTTTAGAATTCTGGAAGATGAATACAGAACTGGAGTGAATGTATAATTCTTTGTAGGAACTTTAGTAAAAACCCCTGAGTTCTTTCTTTCTTGATTGTTTGATTGATTTTACAGGGGATACAGGATCTTAAGTTGTACCTCTGGCTATCCTGGATAAATCAGACTGGCATCCAACTCAGTAAGATACACCTGTCTCTGCCTCCTCAATGCTAGGATTAAAGGCATGATCCAGTACACCCAGCTTGCCCATAGTTTTTTGTAGTTAGTAATTGTTTGTATAATTTCTCTGATATATGGCCAGTATTTGTCCCCCCAACACTCTCTGTTCATTGAAATTTCTCTTGCAAGGCTATATCCTGTTCAAAGGATGCAGAGGTGAACTTCATTATTCAGCTTCCTTCTAAGATGGCTTAGTGATTACATTAAAACTTGTGGGTCAAAAAATAAATGGGGGGAGCACTAGAATTATAAGAATATATTGTTGATGAAGTATACGTTTACAGTGTTATCAGTATCATGGTTTCTCTTGTACACGTGTGTGGGATATTTTAGAATGCAATGACCTATGATGATGTGCATGTGAGCTTCACTCAAGAAGAATGGGCTTTGTTGGATCTTTCACAGAAGAGTCTCTACAAAGATGTCATGTTAGAGACCTACAAAAACCTCACTGCTATAGGTAAGACAATAAATTTTCTTTCTTTTTTTAAAATAAGGAAACAACTGTTTCTTTGTTACTCATGGTCTTCTGTAATTTCAGTTGACAACAAGGATGAATATGGTGAACAAATCAAGTTCACTGAAGATAGTAATTTAAATTTTGCCTAATTTCCAAAAATATATCATACATTTTCTGGTACTATATTTTAGGCTACAATTGGGAAGACCATAATATTGAAGAACATTGTCAAGGTTCTAGAAGACATGGAAGGTAATTTTCATATGCAAGTTGGTATGAATATGCCTCTGAAGAAATTTTAATGTGCCTTGAAAATTTGAAAGCAACAATGTTAAAAAAAGAGCACTTCTTTAAGTGTAATGATGATTATTAAATTCTCACAAATCCATGTACCTCAGTATCAAGTATCTGATTTGTGTTTGCCAGGCATTCCTCTAAGAATGAAGAAAAGGAAGCAATGCCTTAACAGATATTACCATTTCAATCATAGCTCAATATAAGAAACTATTTGGAATAAGACTTCCATTTTGAGTAGGTGTCAAGTAAAGTTTAGGTTCCCAAGACTTTCCTGGAAATTGACATCCTACTTAGTAAAAAGAGACATGTATGTGGACAACTGATACCCTGGTTGGCAAGTTAGGACATGAATGTTAGACAAAACCCACCCTGGTTCACAAGTTAAGACATAATGTTAGACAAGGCAAGCCTCTTAACACAGTTGAATAACCAGTGGGAGGAGGATAAGTGAACAACCAATCTATTTAGTCTCAAGTCACTCCCATACTGCAAAAGATACACACATTGAACAGGTAATAAATATATATTTCTAATAAGCAAATATTCCAGAGTAAAGGTCGCATTACTTATATACTTGTAGTAACATTGCTAAGTGAGTGAAAGCAGCAGTTTATGAGAGTAAAGAATGTTGTTGGGGAGAAAACTTAATCAGTATACCTATCACATGTTTATGATGAACAAAAAGCCAAACTATGAATGCAGTGTCGAAATATTTCATTTGTTATTCTTCTTTTAATAGTTATATCATGTGTCACATTAAATACAAGCCATGTGAACGTAGGGATATTGAAAGAAACAATGTACCCTTCTCTCAGAACAATTAGAAGCATTCCCCATTTGAGTAAACTTTCACAATGTGATAAACATTTATAATTAGTTGGTTTTCCAACTTCATTGGGAATACATCCAAAAACTCACACTGTAGAAAATTCCTATGAGTACTAGAAATGTGGAAATTCTTTCCTGTTTGTCCTGGTTCACATTGCCAATGTAGTATGCAAATGTAGTGTATTTCACACTATATGAAGATTTATAAATGCACTTACTACTGAGTTCTTCAAGTTCTCTTCAAATGTGTGGAAACCTCATATAGAAAAGGGATGCTGTAAATGTAAGCCATGTAATAAATGTTCTTACAATTATAGGTATCCTCAAAGACACAAAACCACCTACAATGAAGGGGAAACCATAAATGTAAACAAAGTGATATAACCTTTAAGATCTGATTCCTCTTTACAACTATACCAAATTATAAAATTAATTCCTTCAGATAAAAAGATTCATCATTGTAATAAATGTGGTAAACCTTTCACATATGCCAATTATCTTTGCAGGAATGAAAGAAGTCGTACTGGAGAGAAACCTTACAAATGTAATGAATGTGATAAATCCTTTTCACAACACTGTAGTCTCCGAATACATAAAACAACACATACTGGAGAGAAACCTTATAAATGTAAGCAGTGTGGTAAATCTTTTGCTTCTCAAGGTCAACTTCAAAGGCATAAAATAATTCATACTGGAGAGAAACCTTATAAATGTAATCAATGTGGTAAACCCTTTGCATGTCACAGTAATCTCCAGATACATGAAAGAACACATACTGGAGAGAAACCTTATAGATGTAATCAATGTGGTAAAGCCTTTGCATGTCACAGTAATCTCCGAATACATAAAAGAACACATACGGGAGAGAAACCTTATGAATGTGAGCAATGTGGTAAAGCCTTTGCCTATCAAGATTATCTTCAAATACATAAAAGAACACATACTGGAGAGAAACCCTATGAGTGTAATCAATGTGATAAAGCCTTTGCATGTCACAATAGTCTCCGAAGACATAAAAGAACACATACTGGAGAGAAACCTTACAGATGTAATCAATGTGGTAAAGCCTTTGCAAGTCATGGAAATCTCCAAATACATAAAAGAACTCATACTGGAGAGAAACCTTACAAATGTAATCAATGTGGTAAAGCCTTTGCATATCATAGTTATCTTCAAATACATAAAAGAACACATACTGGAGAGAAACCCTACAAATGTAACCAATGTGGTAAAGCCTTTGCATATCGTTGTGAACTTCAAAGACATGAAAGAATTCATACTGGAGAGAAACCTTACGAATGTAATCAATGTGGTAAATCTTTTGCATATCACAGTAGTCTCCGAATACATAAAAGAACACATACTGGAGAGAAACCATATGAATGTCATCCATGTGGTGAAGCTTTTTCATATCTTTATGAACTTCAAAGACATGAAAGAATTCATACTGGAGAGAATCCTTACAAATGTAATCAATGTAGTAAAGCCTTTGCATGTCACGGCAGTCTCCAAATACATAAAAGAACGCATACTGGAGAGAAACCATATGAATGTAATCAATGTGGTGAAGCCTTTCCATATCTTTATAAACTTCAAAGACATGAAAGAGTTCATACTGGAGAGAATACTTACAAATGTAATCAATGTGGTAAAGCCTTTGTATGTCATAGTAGTCTCCGAATACATAGAAGAACACATAGAGGAGAGAAACCTTATGAATGTAAGCAATGTGGTAAAGCCTTTGCCTATCATGGTCGACTTCAAAGTCATGAAAGAATTCATACTGAAGAGGAACTTTACAAATGTAATCAATGTGGTAAAGCCTTTGCATGTCACAGGAATCTCCAAAAACATAAAGGAACACATACTGGAGAGAAACCCTATGAATATGTTTAAAATAGTGAAGTCTTTGCACACTTTTATAGCCCTTATTACCACAAAAGTATTCATACTGGAGAGAAACCCTATGAATTGAAGCTTCTCTCATCCATGTGGTGGGTAAACTGAGGCAGGCAGCCTTTGAGGGTCATTGTTTAGAACTGCTGATGGGAGTGGATCCAGATACTTACAGAGGCTGCTGTCAATGGCAGCCAGCAATTAGAGAAGTTATTCCACAGACTATTCTCTGAGGGAACAAAGCTTGATTTACTGGGGCCAGCACTCCTTCCTGGCCAGCAGAAAAACTATGAACTCTCTTTTAACTCCTGGCAAGAAAGAAAAGGAAAGAGAAAATTCACACACACACACACAGTGGATGAAAGAAAAGACAGTCCAATAACTTCATACACACAAATATGTATACATACATATATAAATACATACAGAACTACAGACAGACATATACACATTCACACACAGAATGGTTAGAGCAAAGCTCAAGCAAGCAGGTGCCAAGCATTTCATACACACATACATACGCACAATTGGTGAATGAGGCATGTTCCAACACATATCCAGACAAGCTTTACATATGCACATACATACACATAGTTGATGGGTAGAAGGAACAATGTGCCATCTTCAACTCATAAACTTTACACATATACATGCATACATAGTTGAGGGATGGAAGGAACAATGTTCCAACCCTCCACTCTTTATTTTTTTTCCTCCATAGCTTATATATCCCAGCAAAATCTTTCAAGCAGTATAGAATTGCAAAATGATTACATTTTAGTTTTCTTCTAGTAAATGATTATGGATAAACTATATTCACCAATACCTTTACAAGAAATAAAATTATTCTCCCAAACCTATGTACATTTATAACTAAGCAACTTGTTATAGATTAACAAAGTATAAGCAGGTAAGGTAGTTTTCTCGGCCAGTTTCTTTTGCAGGCAGCATTTTGCAGTTACAAAGAAAGTAATTATTTTATTATTTATCTTTAAAAGTAATCCTGTAAGAATCTTAAAAGAATCATGAATCTAATTTTTTTATAAAATCAATCATATCTACTTTAAATCCTCAGAATGCATATCTATTCATCAGTAAATCTTAAATCATATCAGGAAGCTGAGGGCAAAAAAGCCTCAATGAGAGTCATATCAGTCAATGCTGCCATTGTTCATGTTCCTTGACCATAAAAGGTTCCTAGCTTAATAAGAGTGTGCCTTTCTGGACTTCAGATTGTTTCCTAAAATTTTCTACATCAGAGTCAGCAGTAAAAACATCTCAACCTAGCTTCATTAATAATTTTATTTTTCCAAATGTTTTCTAAGGGTGGTGACATTGTTGACAATCTATATCTCTAAGTTCTGCTCTAGGATAGTGATTGGATCATTAATCTGCTCCAGCAGCAATGACTGAAAGAGATCAAACTATTATTGTGAGTGTCAGAAATACTGTCCAGTAAGTGACTAGAAGCTCCCTTAAGGTTTTCATATAATTCTTAGATTAAGAGGGGTGTGAGGGCAGCAAGCAGAGCAGAATTCCATAATACCATGTGGTCATAGTGTCCATGCCATATCGAGGCTCACCTACGTGGCTCTGGTAATCAGTGGGTCCTATTCCACCAGTGAGTTCTAAAGCCATCTGTCATTTCTCATGCATCGCCCTCAGCAGGGTGGTAGGGAAAGGAACCAACAAAGTAGCCAGATGCTGGCTACACAAGTGTCAGCAATCTATTCATATATTATGATTATCCTCTCTATTTTGTTTGTACTTGCAGACTCATGGACAAATGTCCTATGAATTTAAACAATAAGGTAACCCTTTTAGATCTCAGAATCTCTTCAATTTCATGAAATAACTCATCCATGTGTAAAACTTTATGAGTGTGTATCAGTGCCTTTTCTGTTGCTGTAATAAAGCATTGCATAATGTCTAATGCAACTAATAAAAGCGTTTAATTTGGTTTATGGTTCCAGAGGGATATAGGATCAATATGAAATTGGCATCACAAGTGTTGTACATGGCAGTATAGTAGGAAGCTCAGAACTCACATCCACAACCTGCAGCATGAAGCAGAGAGTAGGAACGAGAGATAGTAAATGCTCAAGCCTACCCCAAGTGGCGTACATCCTCCAGCAGGGTAGCATTTCCTAAAGCTTCAGTAATGATACCACTAACTCGGAAGAATTGATTTCTTTTACTTCAAACCTACATGCTTGCTTTCAGGTACATGAACCAATTCATGATGAAAAACTCAGTAGGTAAGCCTTTAGATGCCTCAACACCTGACTTAACAATGAATGACTTAGGAATGAATGCACAAAAAAAAAGCATTCATGAGTAAAAATGTATTTGTTTTTTATTACATGATTTCAGTGTGTCTCTGTGCATGCACATGTATGTGTGCATGAATGCTGGTTCCCAAGAAGCTTAGACCCTTGGATCTTCTTGTAGCAGGAATTATAGGAAGTTGTCAGAAATATTACCTTAGTCCTTGGAATGAACTTGTCTTAACTGCTTGACCATTTCTGTAACCCTGTAAATATTTAAAGCCATTATGTATCATCTTGATATCAAGAAATAGGAAAGAAGTCAAATAAAAACCCTACTCAAGTCAACAATTTGATAAAACTTTAGATATAGTTGTCTTCAGTTTCAAGGAAAAAATCTTATTTTATCTTTTTTTCATCACAGCTTAGGGATCTGATGACCCCTTCTTGCCGCTTGAGGTACTGTGCACAGAGACACATGCAGGCAAAACATTCATACACTTAAAAATAAAGCTTAAAATATGTAATTCTCTACAGTCATGTCATAGCCCTAAGACAGACAACACCCCATGGTGGTTGAAATGACCTCTTTTCTGGTCCTGCATGGAAGCAGCTTTGGCTTTCCTCTGAGCCAACCTGCTTAGAGACAAAAGTAGCCTTATTCTGATGTTAGAATAGCTCAGCATAGCTGTTCGTCTAAGAACTGCTATCACAGTGCTGATAGGTGCCATTTCCTTGATATTTTCTATATTTCTGTTCTCTGTCCTTTGTATGCGTGAGAACTGTGGAATTGCTAAATCTTTGAAATATATTTTTTAGATCATACAGTATGGTCTAGAAGATAGATTTGCTCTGTAAATAGCTATTTGCCTTAGGGACTAGACTTTCAGTCTTCTGTCTCTATTTAAATTGTTCAAAGTATAACCTAGGGCCTGAACCTAAAAAGAGACTTAAGAATGACAGCATATGTGAAATGCAAAATCTGTTCTAGGCTGCTCCTCTTTGAACGGTAACCGGAGCTGAATGCATGCCACCATTAAAGAGTTTTTTCTTTATTAATCTTTCAAGTGTGTGGAGTGATTTCTCCTGAGAAGGGATATTAATTCTAGAGCAGCTGTATCTCTAGCCCTTTAGAAAAAAAATGTTTATGATGTAAGCGCTACTATGTTTACTCAGGTGATTTTGATCCTAGTCTGTTGTTCCCCAGGGCAATAGCCTTGTTGTTCTCTTGATCAAGCTAACTAAATTCTTAAATTAAAGGGATGTACCATTACTCAGTTTTAAAAGTACACATTTGAGTCATATAATCAACTGTCCATTGCAGTAACAGGAAAAATATTTATATGTGGAGCATGGCTTTCTGCTTTCAGACCAGAATAGGAGGACTAGCATAATGTGTACATCACAGGGAGAAATGGGATAGACAAACAGCTACTGTGTCACTATCATGGAAAAGGACCTGACTGTGGCAGGGTGAGTGATTTTATAATTTCCCAGCATGTATTAATTCATGTCAGGCATGTGTTGTGCTACAGATATCAACAACTAACATTGCATATAGGGGCAAGGTCACAAGTATCTTATTAATACCATTCCCTTTGCCAAGGAATGGCTTTCTATTTATCAAAGTTGCTATATCTATTTTTAAATTATAGTTATCATTTTTATTGAATTATTTAATTCCAAGACTTGTTCCCCTTTCCAGTTTCCCCTCCCTGAGTTCTTTACCCCATCCTACCTCTCCCTGCCTCTGACTGGGTGCTCCCCCACCTGCCCATCCACCCCCACCTTATCCCCACCAGTATCCCTCTTCCCTGGGGCATCAAGTTTTTATAGGATTAAGTGTATCCTCTTTCTTATATGAGGCCATACAAAGCAGTCCTCTGCTACACATGTGCTCAGGGCCACAAATCAGCCCATGTATGCTCCTTGGTTTTTGGCTTAGTCTCTGGTAGCTCTGAGGGGTCTTGGCTAGTTGACATTATTGCTCTTCCTATCAGTTTGCAATCCACTTCAGCTCCTTCAGTCCTTTCTCTAACTCTTCCATATTGGTCCCTTGGCTCACTCCAATGTTGGACTGTAAGAATCTGTATCTGTCTCAGTCGGTTGCTGGTAGAGCCAGTCAGAAGAGAGCTTTACCAGGCAGGCTCCTTTCTGTGTGCATAATATGGCTTCAGTAATAGTGTCAGGATTTGATGTGCACTTATAGGATGGATCCCCAGTTGGGCCAGTCACTGGGTGGCCTTTCTTTCACTGTCTGCTCCATTTTTGTCCTTGCATATCCTTTAGAGCGGAACAATTCTGGATTAAAAAATTTGAAGATGGATAGATGGCCTCCTGCCTCAACTGGAGGTAGTGTCTTTCCTTTCTGTCTCCCTACTGTTTGGCATTTTGGCTAATGTCATCTCCATTGAGTCCTGGTAGCCTCTTACATCCCAGGTCTTTGGGACTTTCTAGAGGTTTGCCCTGCCCCCTAAGCCCTCACTGCTGCATATTTTGACTCATTCTCCTGACCCTCTGGGTGTTCCTTCTGTCTCTCCCTGTACTTGATCCTGCTTTTCATCTTCCCCTCTCCCAGTTTGCTCCCTCCCTCTGCCTCACATGATTATTTTCTTCCTGTTCTAAGTAGGCTTCAGTTATCCACACCTGGGCCTTCCTTATTATTAGGCTTCCTACATTCTGTGAGTTGTATCAGAGTATTCTGTGCTTTTGAGCTAATATTCACTTATCAGTGAGAGCATACCATGCATGTCTTTTGGGGTCAGAGTTACCTCATTTGGGATGATATTTTCTAGTTCCATCCATTTGCCTGCAAAATTCATGATGTCCTTTTTCTTAATAGCTAAGTAGTATTCTGTTGTGTAAATGAACCACATTTTTTTTGTATACATTCTTTGGTTGAGGGACATCTGAGTTGTTTCCAGCTTCTGGCTATTACAAATAAGGCTTCTATGAACATACTGGTGCACATGTCCTTGTGGTATGGTGGAACATCTTTTGGAAATATTCCCAGGAGTGGTATAGCTGAGTCTTCAGGTAGAGCTACTTCCAAATTTCTGAGAAACCACCAGATTGATTTCCAGAGTGGTTGTACCAGTTTACACTCACACCAGCAATGGAGGAGTATTTTTCTTTATCTACACCCTTGCCAGCATGTACTGTTGCTTGGGTTTTTGATCCATTCTGATTGATATAAGGTAGAATCTCAGAGTCATTTTGATTTGCATTTCCCTGATGACTAAGGATGTTAAACATTTTTTTTAAGTGCTTCTCAACCATTCAAGATTCCTTTGTTGAGAATTCTCTGTTTAGCTCTGTACCCCATTTTTAAATTGGAATATCTGGGTTTTTTGGATTCTTGACTTCTTGTGTTCTTTGCATATTTTGGGGATTAGCCCTCTGTTAGATGTAGGGTCAGTGAAGATTCCCAATCTGTAGGTTGCTGTTTCATGTTGAGGTCCATGATCCACATGGACTTGAGCTTTGTACAAGGAGATAAAAACGAATCAATTTGCATTCTTCTACATGCAGACCACCAGTTAAACTAGCACCATTTGTTGAAGATACTTTCTTTTTGCCAATGTATGGTTTTGGCTTCTTTGTCAAAGATCAAGTGACCTTAGGTGTGTGGGTTTATTTCTGTGTCTTCAGTTCTATCCCATTAATATACCCATCTGTCTCTGTACCAATATCATATAATTTTTTATCACTATTGCTTAATACTACAGCTTAAAGCCAGGGATGGTGATTCCTCCAGAAGTTCTTTTATTGTTGAGAATTGTTTTCACTATCCTAGGTTTTTTGTTTTTCCATATGAAGTTGAGAATTGCTCTTTCTGTGTCTGAGAAGAATAGTGTTGGAATTTTGATGGGGATTGCAGTGAATCTGTAGATTACTTTGGTAGGATGGCCATTTTTACTATGTTAATCCTACCAATCCATGAGCATGAGAGATCTTTCCATCTTCTGAGGTCTTTTTTGATTTCTTTCTTCAGAGACTTGGATTTCTTGTCACACAGATCTTTCACTTGATTGGTTAGAATTACACCAAGATATTTTTTATCATGTGTGACTATTTTGAAGAGTGTTGTTTCCCTATTTTATTCTCAGCCCATTTATGATTTGTATAAAGAAAGGCTACTGATTTGTTTGAGTTAAATTCAGCCAAATTTATATCTAGTCACTTTGCTGAAGTTGTTTTTTGGCTACAGAAGTTCTCTGGTAGATTTTTTGGGGTCACTTATGTATGCTAACATATCACCCGCAAATAGTGATACCTTGACTTTTTCCTTTCCAGTTTGTATCTTCTTGATGTCTTTTTGTTGTCTTATTGCTCAAGCTTGAACTTTGAGTACTATGTTGAATAGATAGAGTGGGCAGCTTTGTCTTGTTTTTGACTTTAGCAGGATTCATTTAATTTGATAACATTAAATTTGATTTAACTTGATTAAATTAATTTAATTTGATACTGGCTGTTAGTTTGCTGTATATTGCTTTTATTATGTTTAGGTATTGGCCTTGAATTCCTGATCTCTCTAGGATTTTTAACATAAAGGGGTATTGTATTTTGCCAAAGGCTTTTTCAGCATCTAATGAGATTATCATGTGATTTTTTTCTTTGAGTTTGTTTATATAGTGGATTTCATTGATGGATTTTCATGTATTGAACCATCTCTGCATC